AAAGAAAGAAAGAAAGAAAGAAAGAAAGAAAGAAAGAAAGAAAGAAAGAAAGAAAGAAAGAAAGAAAAAGGTCTACAATCCACTGCTGAAAACATTGCTTGAAAATCCAAAACACCTTCAGTGGGGATAACTTCATAAGTGGAAGGCAGCTTACAAATATGGTCACAAGCTAGGATCAAAAATCTCAAAATGGCTACCATAAAACAAAACAAAAAAAGACTCCATTTTATGTGTCCTATAACCACCATCTGGAGTTTTTTTTTTTTTTTTTTACCATAGCTCGAGGAGATCCCCTAGTAATGCAAGCAGCAGAGTCTTACCAATACAGTTGCCGAGAGCATCTTGTATAAAGCCGATCTTACACTGTTGTTTGGGCCGGCAACGGAATGATCCTGGCGTATTCTGACAGATAAAATCGGGGAGGCAGTTATGAATACCAGTCTCACATTCGTCAATATCTGGCACATCACAAAAGAAAGAATGAGTTAGCGTGAGCTCTCCCGGAGCCATCTTGTCATGACCGAGATAAAAAGCAGTTGTTGACAGATTAAACCTATATCTAGACCAGCAGCCCCCAACCTTTTGGCGACCAGGGGTTGGTTCCTTGGAGAGGTTTTTCCATGGACCGCCGGGGGTGGGGTGGGGGGGGCGGCATGGTTTTGTGTGCTGCCTGCATCCGATGGATGGGGCTTTGCTGGTTTGCGTGGACCGGTTTCTGGCATGCAACAGAATGGGAGCAAGGGACCCCTGATCTAGGCCAGTGTCGCCAGTCAGTGGGCCCAGGACCACTGGTGGCCCGCGAGAAAATTTTGGTGCTCCGCAGAGAAATGTCCTCCCCAAAGCAATTAATCCAGGCTGCACAGGAACACAAGGCCGTGCCGCCCACATGGCCCGTCCCATCACTGGCCCCCACCCTTCGGTTGAGCATAAACCTTACCTTGAGTAGAGCCATGTGAGCTGGAACTGGAAGGTAAGACCAACGGCGGGAGAGGAAAATCCTCTCCGGGTGGCTTGCTGACGTTGGTGGGAACGTTGGTCCCATATTCCAGAGGTGCCGTAGTGACAGGACTGGCCCTTTGGTCATCCTGGAGCAGCTCCTCCAGTCCACAGCAGTCCAGTGCACCCAGGTGGAGGAGCAGCTGCTCCGGGATGGCCAAAGGGCCAGTCCTGTGATGACTGCAGCTCTGGAATATGGGACCGACTTTCCCACCAATGTCAGCAAGCCGTTAATCAAAATTCATATTAGCAGTCCATGGGATTTAAAATTATGAGTTTGGTGGTCCCTGAGGTCCAAAAGGTTGGCAACCCCTGATCTAGACTACATTGATAGCATTGATAGGTACAATGAGTGCACTTTACACTCCTTAATTTAAGAAGAGTTAGAAACGAAATTCAATTCCAGTGACTGAACTAGATAAAAAGTAATCCCCTCCCTTCTTCAGAATTATAGATCCTCAGATTTTCTGCATCTGAAGCTATAATATCTGGATTTTATGGGGGAGAGGGAGACTGGAAGGCATGAGGAATATGTACACATCCGAGGTATTCATTTACCTAAACTTACTTCCCGCCTTGGAACCTATCTGGAAGTGAATTCTAGTGAAATGTTACTTCAGTACTGTAAAAAAATATCCTTTAAAGTATTTGTCAATTTATTAAGAGTTATGGGTTGTTGAAATATAACTGAAATGTATTCTACAAGATTGCAAAGATAAATCTGTTTTGATAGAACAGATTCTTGAGGCATGTTTTTTTTTCATATCCACTCTTCAGATTTACTGTTATGATTTTGATGGGTTTGAAATGGCCTAGAATTCACACCTGGATATAAACTCTGTCTTGAACTTTTTTTAAAAAAAAGAGGCAACAAGGTGCTGCCTTCTCCCTTATACTAGCACTGCCCAATATTTGCTATGGTACGATGGCTCTTTGCAGTACTAAAGGAGTCCGTTCGCAAACACAGATGCTTCTGTCTCTCAGGAATCCCAAGACATCTGCAGGAGGAGGGAGTCCATTTTTTTTTACTACCGGTTCTGTGGGTTTGGTTTGGTGGCAGGGGAAGGATACACAGGTGGTATTTTCCAGGTCTCTGAACTACTCAAAATTCCCACTAGCAGTTCTCCAGAACTGGTCAGAACCTGCTGAATGCCACCTCTGGAGGACACCCTCCCCTCCCACAACAATCAAAATGACGTCTATTACTTTTTCAAACTCCCCCGCAGATAATCCCTCTGGGAATGTTTGCAGACAAGCCTCTATTTTAATCACTGCAAACTTGAGCTTACACTGGGCAAATACTGTACGAACCTAATACTGTGGCATTCAAGAGAACAGAGATGGTTTATACCCTCTGCAACGTTCTGTGTTTTGATCCATCTCTGCCATTTCTGGGCAATTGTGAATTGTGAGTTGTGGGTGCTCCAGCAATAGCAGTTTTCAAAAATAGACTGGACAAACTATTTGACCAGAACGGTATATACTGTCTCCTGCCTTGAGTGGGGGTTGGACTAGGGGTTTCTGCGTTCTAAAACGTACCTTTGCAGAAATTGTGCTCTGTCAGCTGATAACCTGTCCCACAATTTGTCTCCCGCTGGCAACGAAAAGAGCCCAGAGTATTGACACAGATCTGACCGATGTTGCAGGCGTTGGCAGAAGTGATGCACTCATTAATATCTAGCAAGAATACAATCATTTTTGTTGTAGCATACCGTTTTCTATACAGGTAGTCCTTGACTTACAACCACAACTGGGATCAGAATTTTGGTTGCTAAGCATGGCAGTTGTTAAGTGAGTCATGCCTCATTTTACAGCCTTTTTGGTCATGGTTCTTAAGCGAATCAATGCTTTTTTTTTTTAAATTTTAGCAAATCAATGCACTTATTGACTCACATGTTTCTTAGGTGAATATGGTTTCCCCCATTGACTTTGTATGTTGGAAGCCAGCTGGGAAGGACATAATTAGGGATTACATGGTCCTGGGGACTCTTCAACAACTGTCCTAAGTAGGAGGGCTGATCATGTCAGTTTTTTCAGTGTATCTGTAACTTTGAAGGATTGCAAGTCAAGGACGTAGGCTTAAAAACATTTCTTTGCACTGATCAACATTTATGAGTAGTTTCTCAAGGGAATAAACACTTCTGAAATCATTGTTACGTGAGAAAGAAATCGAAGTTGAAGAAAATTTGACAAAAGATCAAATTACTCTCTGCTTAAAGGAATAATCAAGAAAGTTAGATTAAACTAACAGCAGTGTTTTTCAAACTTGGCAATGCTGAGATGTGTAGACTTCAACTCCCAGCTGGCATGGAACTACTCAGAAGTTCACACATTTTGAAATTCCAAGTTTGGAAAACAATGACCTAAAAGAACCAGATTTGAGCAACAATATTCATAGGGCTATAAGATGAAAGACAGAAATTTGCTCTTGTTCTTTAATATTGTTGACTCCCTGCTCAATTCATGGTAGATTGTCCATACATAGCTATGAGCCAGCTAGGGTTTCTCAACAACTTGTGAACATCGCACAATACAATGATTTGATCTGGACAATAGATAGGTCATAAAAAGTCAAATCTTCCTTGAAATGAACCAGACTTCAGACACACGCATGTAGTTTTGTAACCTCTTTCTGGGGTTATTTTTCCAACTTCCTCTGTTGGAGATTATGAGTCGTGTCTATGTAGTTTTCTTGTGACACAGAAGAAGGTTGGCACCAGCTTCTTTGGGAATGTTTGTTCAGCTTATCAAACTATTTCCTAGTATTCCCCCATCCCAAGTCAAACCTGCTTAGATTTTCAAAACCAGTCAATTCATAAGGTGTCAACGTTCCAGTAACCCTCCATTCCAACCAATAACTCCGAGACAGACATCTTTGAAAGGTTCCTTTTATTTGCATAGTAACTGGTATATCTGTGGAATCCCGAATCTGAAAGTTTCGGGCTTCCTTGCAAAAGTAAAAACTACAAATCCATCCCCCATACCCATCACCACATCACATGGCCCAATCACTATCCGTCCCAAAGTAAGACTTCCTTTTCACTATGCGCAACACTACGTGACCTTGAACCAGCAAAAGAATTTTATTTTGTCTAACTAAATATACTCAAATGAATCCCACCCACCCCCCACTTTCCCAGGCTCAATTGTGGCAGCGTGGGAGCTTCGGATCTCAATATGGCTTCCAAAGATGACATAAGGAGGGCTAGTTAGTTGACAATATCAAAAATATAATTACTCAGTTTGGCACAGATGGTACGAGTGGTTAAAAAAGGGAGATAAGAATTGAATGACCATGCAGGAGAATTCTCAAGAGAGTGATACATAGATATGTAGATGGGTAAAATAGACAAAGCTAGATATTAATGGTAAATATAAGTAAAGATAATAATTATTCATGATATGTACGAATAGATGATAGAAATATAAGATAATATTGAATGTTCATGCAAATGCTGCTGAAAATGTAACTACGATTTGTACTGGTGGAATATAATAAAAATCATTTGAAAAAAAAAAAGAAAGAAAATATCAAAAATATAAGGAAATCAAATGTTTCATTACCTTCACAAGTAAAGCCATCTGCTTGAAGCTGGTAGCCCATGAAGCAAGAACAGAGGACACTAGTTCCTGTATCCCTACATTGTTGGGTACAAGGTCCTCCACCTAAAACCCAAGAATTATGGCAGAATATAATCCTTTCTCCAAAGATTGGCATATTTTCCATCTTTCCAATTCTCCCAGCCATATTTTCCAACTTTCCCAGCCATAGTGATATACTCCTGCAAAGGTCTTGCTCACGCAATCCACTTCACCAAGTTGTGAAACCCACTCAGAACTGGCAGTAACCCACCCAATGACAGCAAATGTATCTAGTAAGCAGGTGGGATTAATTCCATGGACCCTGTAGGGGCTGCCAAGATATTCCTCAATATGTTTCAAGGTTCTAATTTTAACTTAAGAAGTCCTTCAAAACTTATGAACCATCTTCAGGGCTGCTACCTCCAACCAGGTTTCATCTGTCTAATGCAGGGGTGTCAAACTCATGTCGCCATGGCATCGTTATGTGATGTATCATGACTTTTCCCCCCTTCGCTAAACCACGTGTGGGCGTGGTCAGCATGTGATGCATCTGGCCTGTGGGCCACAAGTTTGACAGCCCTGATCTAATGGAACCTCCCAGGAGAAGCTCTGGAAGTGAGGGGAGCTGAACTTGGTGGCATTGTTTCAACACGATGGCCCTGCCCCTCTGAAAAGACCTCCACTTATAGATTACATACAGGGCTCTGACAGGTTTAAAACTTGTGGACTTCAACTCCCAGAATTCCTCCTCCAGTCATGTTAGCTCAGGAATTCTGGGAGTTGAAGTCCACAACTCTTAAACTTGCCAAGTTTGAAGACCCTTGGATTAGAGCCTTCCAAAAGCTGATTAAACTGATTTATTCTGGAGGGATTAAGTTCTGCTGTACATAATTTTTATTCAATAACTTAACACGAGTGTCAATGGAGTAGAGATCAGAAAAGTTAAGGTAATATCCACAGGTACTGGAATGGTTGTGCTAAAAGGTCTTTGGATCAGATTGCTCCTAGAAGTGTTTCCCTAATCCACCATTTTAGCCACTGGACCAGATTGGCTCCTTTAAATTGTAAAGATATTTCACAATATAATTGTGAAATTCAGTTTAGTCCATAGCCCTGGGATTTGGTGATGCTCTCTTATCCAAGAACTAACCAGCCTCAAACCTGCTTAGCTTTCCAAGATCAGACAAGGTCAGTTAAGACTTGCCAAATGGAGAACTGGCATATTTTATAAGGCAACATTGAATGAGAACACTGAATAAAATTCACGCTGCCTCTACAAACTCTCAAGTTTATCTAACACCAATGCTCTGTTCTTTCTGATGATCCCTTGCCACAAAATGAACTAGCTTACCTCTGCAACGGTCATTCAGGTAATGATCCTCAAGGTTAATTTCCACTGGATAAAGCAAGCCAGCATTGAGGAGTGAAAGAGAGATATGCTGTTAGTCATACTGACCTCTAGCTCGAGAAATTGGCTGGTTCATTCACAGTTAAAACAACAATATAGGCAATTGGGAAGGTTTCATTTGAAACTTTTCCAGTGACATCTAGATGTTTAAAATCAACTCTGGCAACTTTAAGATGTGTAGACTTCAAATCCCAGAATTCCCCAGCCAGCCATGCTAGCTGGATAATTCTGGGAAATTGAAGTCCACACGTCTTAAAGTGGTTATGGTTGATAAATACTGGTCTAAATGGAGGAATGAACTCAAAATTGACATGGTAAATGATGGTACTCCTCCCAACAACAACTTTGCTTTTCTGGGGACAGAGAGCAGCATTCAGCCTTTTTAACTTGTGAAGCAAAAATGTTACAGGTTAGTCTCAGATTCCACAGATCCCTACACATTTTAAGCCATTTTACAAACAGCATGCAACAGGCCTCCTGCCGTTCAAAACATGCTGTTCCTTCATCTCAGAAAATATTTTTATTTGAACAACTTACCCAGTTCTTTGTTAGGACCGTCAACAATCCCAGCATCCGAGTTTTCTTGCCCTTCGACACAGCAAGCTCTGAACACCAATCCACACTGATAACCCATTAGGAGGCTCTGTTCACAGCTATGGCCTTGTTTCTGGGCCTCTTTCCCCAGAAAGCAGCAGTAACAACATTTCTGTGTAGCGGAAATTAATTGATTACGTTATCATAACTGTCCTTCAAAAACAGAGACCTAGCACACTTTTCTATGCTACCTTTTTTATGTTAATCCAACCTTGGCAACTTTTAAGATGTATAGACTTCAACTCCCAGAATTCCTCAACCAGAATGTCTTATAGTTGCCAAAGTTGGGAAACCCTGAGGTAAGCCTTTCAGAATATTTCTGAAAATATTTGGATGTTTAAAAAATTTGGGCAACAACTACTCAGTTGCAAGCCTCAAAGAATATCTCAAGTGTTTGACTGCTGTCCTGGAAGTGTTTAGAGATTGAAATGTTTCTAGGAAATTAAGAATAAGTAACCTGTTTTGAATTTGAGACATTTAATCTCTGAACACATTCAGAATGCTCAGTGGCAAAACTGCAATCTATAATTGAAGTATTAGAAGAAGATTGCTTCAATTAAAACAATATAACAAGTAAAGACAGGAAGGGAAAAAAATTAAAATAGCAAGGGTCAAACATGGAGCAATTAAAAGCAATTAAAAGAAAAGTCTTTAAGACTCATTAATAGATCAGTTCTTGACAAGTGGTTTTCCAAACAGTCAACTGTTCCTTTTTTCAGTTTTTCTGCTCTCTAATCTGAACCAAGTCTGTCCATATTATTTGAATTATTTTTGGAAAGATGCCACTGATCTTAGTAAATGTCTCATTTGACAATTCTAGATTAAATGCAGCCTGAGAACCTTCCTCATTATGGAGTTACAAAGTTCTCCAGCCCTTAAGATGAAAATTCAGGCTTTCAACATTCATGAATAAATTATGCACTTTACAGCAATATCCCAGAGAAATTATACCCGGTTTGGCAAGATTTTTTTAACAATTCATTTATAGTTACTACTTTACTGGAATCCCATCCATGTGCAAAAAAAAAAAGGCAAAGAAACAAAGAATCCTGATCCTTTCTTGCCCACTTCCTCTCATTTTATCTTTTTATATCCATCTATTAATTTAATATGCTCTGATTATGATAATATATCATAATATTTCACAATATTTTTTCATTTCTAGCATGAAATGCTTCGTACAGAAGTTTGTAATTTTCGCACCTAACATTATGGCCCATTGTGAAGTATGCATGGTTTCAATGGTCTTTCCCGTGTAACAGTCATCAAAGAAATGGCCCCACAGAGATTTCCCCCACCTGAAGACCGCAATGCAGATTTAAACACATGTAACAAATGCAAAACAATCATTAAGGGTGCTGTAAACAACCTTTTAAGGGATTCTCTGGTTTTATAGGATGCACGTGAGGAAACACTGAAAACACCCAATATTTGCCATATCCTTTTGCCCATTTCCTTATTAGGAACCCTCAAAGAACTGCCCAGGAACCAGCAAATTCTGCAACCAGAATGTGAAATGTACCAAAGTAGACCAGCAGCATCCAGCTCTGCTAACAAAGAAAAATTCCAAATTGCTATGCAGTCATTTCAGCGTCCCCTCTACAATTTCACCTTAATGATCTTGTCTTCACAGGTGGAATTCTCCCTTGGCAAGTCACAATTTTCTTGCTTACTAGCAATGGCCATTCCAGTGGTGCAATGCAACACCTCCAGCTGACTGAGGCAGCACTGTTCCTGGGCTATCCTACAAAGAGAACCAGACAGAGGATCACAGATTACAGATTAACAGAGTTGGAAAAACTTTGTAGGTCAGCTAGTCCAATCCCCCGCCCAAGCAGGAGACCCTACACCATTTTTGACAGATGGCAGTCCAGTCTCTTCTTAAAAGCTTCCAGTGATGAAGCTGCCACAACTTCTGAAGGCAAGCTGTTCCACTGGTTGATTGCTCTCACTGTCAGAAAGTTTCTCCTTATTTCTAGATTGAATCTCTCCTTGTTCAGTTTCCTTCCATTGTTCCTTGTCTGGCCTTTGGACGCTTTGGAATTCTCTCTGCCACCTCCTCAAATATTGGAAGACTGCTATCATATCTCCCTTGGTCCTTCTCTTCACTAGACTAGCCAAGCCCAGTTCCTGCAACCGTTCATCGCATTTTTAGCCTCCAGTCCCCTAATCATCCTGGTTGCTCTTCTCTGCACTCTTTCTAGAGTCTCAACATCTGTAATGGAAGCTCTGTAATGGGTGATATGATCGCACAACATACTTGTCAAAACATAGAAAAAGTTGCAACTTTGAAAACAGTAGCGAACAATCAAAACAACATTTCCTCAGAAGAGTCTGACTCGCCGGCAGGAACCAAAATTGAATTAGGCAAAGAGGCTGAATTAGTAATGAAAGGGGACGAATCAAGGGCGTTGGGGGAAATGGGTGCAATTTGGGAAATGGACACCAGCAGCATCTTAGCAGGGGGCAGGACGTGGATAATTTGTCTTGAACTTGGAAGATAAGCAAGATTGGACCTGGTTCATATTTGAATGGGACGTTACCAGCCTATCCTAAGACTCAAACTTGCCTGGAAAGTAAAAATGAAAACAATGGCAAGTTATTTCCATACAGCTGCTAAGAAAAATCACATAGACATTCAAAAAATTACAGAGAGATGCCAATCAAAATCTCAGGAAGTCACCTTGAAGGAGACAAGGTTCGTGTCCCGAATGAGGAGCCAATTTGGTATAGTAGTTAAGGCACCGGGTTAGAAAGCAGAAGATGGTGAGTTCGAGTGCTGCCTGAAGAAAGGAAGCCGGCTGGGTGACTTTGGGCCGGTCCCTCCCTCACAGCCCAACTCACGTCACAGGGTTGTTGTTGTAGGGAAAATAGGAAAAGAAAGGAACATTGGATACGTTCATTGCCTTAAGTTATTTATCAAAATAATATACGTAAAGGGGAAAAAAACCTGGATGGTCCAACTACACACAAGCTAAACACTTTTACCTGCATTCCTTGGAATCCCGATCTGAAGAGAGAAACCTACAGTCTTTCTTTTGACTCGCCCATTCATATCCACGGGAACAGCAGGTCTCCACCGAGGCTTCTACAGAGTGAAAAATATATATATATAGTTTGCAGCCTTAGGAAGCAGCATTGACAAAGTCCAGTTTCAAGGTGATTCACCTTCTTGGAATGAAAGGAACCTCCCCAACCATCTTACTTAATATCTCCTGCCTCGGATTTGACCTATGCTCCCATACTTCATATCCCATTTTTTTTTATTTTATCTCATAATTCTTTCATTTGATTGCACCACTGAAGCTACCATCTTGCCTCTCTGTTAATCACACCTGCAGATACCCTTGTTTGCCTATATTTTGGGATGGATATAATTACATGTGCATTCAAAACATAGAATTTACATTTAGATGTAGATACATTTACATACACACATTTACAATGTAAAATGTAAATTTTCTTCCTCTGGATTATAGGCAGTCCTCGACTTATAGTATGTGATGACCCGGAGCATGGCACAAAAGCAACAAAGTCACAAAAGTAGGTAAAGTTCCTTTAATACCTCCAAATTTCCCCCCAACGTCCAGTTATCATCAGCTGGAGAAAAAACTCTCCCAAGAACAGTTTTTAAAGGGAAGAAATTCAGTCCCAACCCAAAGTACATATAGATTATAAATAAAAACCAACACAAACCACAGCTGCAGCAATTAACGAGACAGGGCAGGATAATGAATTGCAGACTTCAAAAGATAATGACACACACAGAGTTGGGAGGATGCTGGAATCCAGATAAGACTTGACAAACAAAGATAATTCACACTTTGCTTCCAGCAAGATGCTGTGCACAAACACCCTTTTCTCAGCTGCAGCTAATGAAGGGAATCAGGGCCCTTTTCTCCCCCGTAACTCATGTTGCTCCCTTCTCCATTCCTCCTTGCGTGCCCTAGAATGAAGAGGAGGTGGCCCTGGGTCTTCCTCTGAATATCCATCTGGATTGTGCCCTTCCCCAGTTTCTTCCACAGCCTCCAGAGTCACACTCCCACTCCCTGTCAGCTGCTCAACCTCCCCCTCAGAATCAGATTCCAACAGGGACATGACACAGTAATTCACTTAGCAACTGTTTGAAATTACAACAGTACTGAAAAAAAAAGTGACTGACAACCAATCCTTGCACTTCCAACCATAGCAGGATGTCCATGGTCACATGATCAAAATACAGATGCTTGGCAATCAATATGTATTTATGACAACTGCAATATCAATAGGACATGTGATCACCATTTGCGACCTTCCCAGCTGGCTTCCAGCGAGCAAAGTCCATGGGAGGGGAAAATGAATTGACTTAAAGGCCACATGATTCATTTAACAACTAAAGTGACTCGGTTAACAACCATAGCAAAAAAGTTCAGGCACAACTCACTTAACAACCACCTCGCTTAGCAACAGAAATTCTAGTTCCAATTGTGGTCATATGTCAAAAGCTATCTGTAAAATATGAGTTTCGCAGTCATAAATCTGTAACAAAAATGGATCCAGACAAGCACACACATTTGAAATGTGTTTCTTGTTCCTCTCTAATTTCTTCTCAACTAGATCAGAATTCTTCTGGAAATCAACTTGCAATCTGATCAACTCTGAACAAGAAAAGCAGTCTAAATGAGAGATTCCCTTATCACAGGCAAATATAATTACATCCTTAGGACAATCTTGAGTATCATCTTGAATGTTCATCGTTCTCTTTCATAGCGGACATTTTGAGGGTCAAACATGTAAGATTTACTTAATTTGGGATTACCAAACTATGTGCATCCCACACATGGTAATTTATTTAATAATTCGTATTAGACAAACCAGATTTTGGTGTCACCTAGTGAGAATGTTCTGTTTGCTAAGCTTGGGAACAGCTAGCTAGCTGCTAAGACCCTCTGGAATTAATTTCAGTTTGAAAAAAGTGGGGGAAAATATTTAAACCAATATTTATAGTGGCCAAGAAAGTAATACTGCACAGTGTTAAGTTTTGAATCCAATTAGACAATGTGCTAATGGATGGAATTTTAAGAGCTGAAATTTTGATATATTAAAGTTGCAGAAATTGAGGAACACTGAATTGAATCAAAGGACCCAAAGGTAACAAACCGATGCATGGGGCAGGGACACTAAAAATAAAGGTTAAAAAGGGACAGATAGTCTTTCTTGCAGCCACATTTCTTACATTATGTTTCACATATGCAAACACACACGGACCATCTTAATAACACAATAGAAATTCCTGTGGAACCCTAACAAATGGAATATATTTATGATTTTTAAAGACAGGTGCAAAAGCTTAATAAAAAGAATTTATATAAATGGAAATGACAAAAAATGGGCGAATTAAATATAGAGATCATACAGGTTGTCTTAGAGATATGTCCACATACAGACGGGAGGTTGTACCCAAGGGTGGGATTCTACAGAACTGGTTGTTAACATTCTAAGCAGTTTGGAGAACTGGTTGTTAGAAGAAATTATTGGCCTAATCCTGTAAGGAAGGCAGGAAGGAAACATTCTGGTGTTGCTTACAGAAACTGCCTCTCCGTTAACCCTTATTACATTCTTGGCAGGACTGGACTTCCTGTCTCAGAAACTTCTCTGGAGTTTTTTCCCCCTCCTTTGCTGGTACTTTGCTTGTGTGGAGTGACCATTCAAAGTTACAATGGCACTGAAAAAAGTGACTTATGACCATTTTTCACACTTACGACTGTTGCAGCATCCACACAGTCATGAGAGGCCAGGCGAGGAGATGCGTGCCTCGATGTGAGTGATGTTGAGTTAGCTACGTCCAGCTAGTCACATGATCACCAAGCCATGCCCACCAACTAAGCCATGCCCACAGAACCGGTTGTTAAAAAATTTGAATCCCACCCCTGGTTGTACAACTTGCTTCATGGTGTAACCGGAAAATCTAGAACTGAACACGTTCAAAACCGTAGAAATAGTGGTAGACTTTAAGAGAAACCCTCCCATACTACCACCTCTTACAATACTAGATAACACAGTATCAACAGTAGAGACTTTCAAATTTTTAGGTTCTATCACATGATCTAAAATGGACACCTAACATAAAAACATCATCAAAAAAGCACAACAAAGAATGTTCTTTCTGCACCAACTTAGAAAGCTCAAACTGCCCAAGGAGCTGCTGATCCAGTTCTACAGAGGAATGATGGAGTCTGTCATCTGCACCTCTATAACTGTCTGGTTTGATTCTGCCACCCAACAGGACAGGCACAGACTTCAGAGGGTAATTAGGACTGCAGAAAAAACAATTCCTACCAACCTGCCTTCGATTGAGGACCTGTATACTGCACGAGTCAAAAAGTGGGCTGTGAAAATATTTACGGACCCCTCACACCCTGGACAAAAACTGTTTCAACTCCTTCCCTCAAAACGATGCTATATAGAGCACTGCACACCAGAACAACTAGATACAAGGACAGTTTTCCCCCGAAGGCCATCACTCTGCTAAACAAATAATTCCCTCAACACTGTTCAACTATTACAAAGTCTGCATTACTATTACTATTAATCTTTTCATCATTCCTATCACCCATCTCCTCCCGCTTGTGACTGTATGTCTGTAACTTTGTCGCTTGTATCCTATTTATATTGACTGTTTCCTAGTATGATTTGATTGCTTATTTATAGCCTATGACTATCATTAAGTGTTGTGCCTTATGATTCTTGACTCTTGACGAATGTATCTTTTCTTTTGTGTATACTGAGAGTATTTGCACTAAGACAATTCCTTGTGTGTCCAATCACATTTGGCCAATTAAGTATTCTATATTCTATTCTATATGACAGGTCACTTAAATGAACGTTCAAAGTTATAACAGACACCCCAAAATAACATACAACACTATTTCAAAATTATAACAGATGCAACATCCCTGCAGCCACTGATCCTTATGACCAGACCTCAGGACGTTGCAGAGCTCCCTCTCCTCCATCCCACCCTGCCTGGACCCTGCAGCACTTGGGCCTTTTCCCAAAACATCCATCACCCATCACACATCCATCTTGTGAAGCCCTCTGGGCCTCATGTTGGGGAAGGATGGAAGGCCACTTGGCCTTAGCTACGCAGTGACAACCTAAACACAGACGCCATTTTCCCCCCGTCTCCCATTGTGAGCTGGGACAAAATGGCAGCCGCCAGACAACCTGCTTCATTTTCTGCCTTAACAGGGTCTGCCCAGCGCTGCAGATGTTTCTGAATGCTGCAAGAAGCTATTCTGCAGCTCTGTGCAGGTCTTGTTAAAACAGCAAAATGAAGTAGTGTTTGTCCCTGGGATGCACTGCTGTGATCCCAACACAGCCGTCATTTTGTGGCTAGTGGACATAATGGTGGCCAAGCAGCTATACAAAATAGTAAGTCATTCCAGGGGTCTGGAAGGCCTGGGAGCTCCTCAAAAGATAAAAGAGGAGGAGGAGGAGGGGGGGGGGAGGGGGAGG